TGTCTTTGTATTATCTATAAAGTATTCCACATACCTGTCTATGTATTATCTATAAAGTATTCCACAGACCTGTCTTTGTATTATCTATGAAGTATTCAACAAACCTGTCTATGTATTATCTATAAAGTATTCCACAGACCTGTCTTTCTATTATTTATAAAGTATCCAACATATCTGTTTTTGTATTTTCAATAAAGTATTCCATAGAAACGCTTTTGATTTTCCTATAATGTATTCCCCAGAAATGACGCATTTTTTCCTTTAAAGTTTTCCAAAGACAAGACTTTGTATTTTCCTCTAAAGTTATCCACAGAAACGACTAAGGTATTATCTATAAAGTATTCCACAGAAATGCCTTTGTATTATCTGTAAAGTATTCCACAGACACAGTTTAGGTATAACCTGTGAAATTAAACACAGTAGTCACTTATTTACTGCTTTGAGTTTTTCGTTTTCTTTTCTAGAAAACGCAGTCGTTGTCGTCTGGAAATCCATTAAAATATCCGTGTATCAATAAAAGAAGCCATTTTAACTTGCTTTGTTGACAATCTCGATATATGATATCAAATGATTTGTTTTGCATCGAATGAAGGATCAATTAACCCCGCACTCTCTTTCACCTCTACAAAACAGTTTTATCAATTAGCAGCATGTCAGTATAATTAAAAAAAAAAAAATTGCCAAAGCTTATATCCCTTTAGACTTACAACTGTATATAGCTGCAACCACCGGGGTATATAAAGCACGAATGTATCTTTTCACAACGTAATCATCTATGACATATCCGAATGCTATGTTGAGATAATAGGCTGTTTCAAAATCCCATTACGATATAAGCGACTTCTTAACGTGTCGCTTGTAACGTCAAGGTGTCGAATAGGCATGTCTGGCCAATAAAGCATGAAATTGGGAGTCATCAATAATTCAACTAAACTGTTGCATCTCACTGATATTCCACAGGAAATATGACTTTAATTATTTTGTGAAGGAAGTTTAAGTACAACAGCCAATCAGCTAAACGTTTTTTTTTTATTTTATTTTTTATTTCCTATCTATTAAACCAATAAAAATACTTGTAGCGATTTTATTGCGGGGAATTTTTTTTGGAGTTGAATTTTATGCATTGTAGACTACCATGATCAATAAACGCTGATTTGAAATATAATATTGATACAGTCGAACCAGTTCATTCAGCCATCTCTAATAGGAGACTACCGATGTTAAGACTTAGAAATCACACCTATTTAGAAACCGCTGGTATATATTAAGACTTAGAGATCACCTCTATTAAGAAACTTATGAATTTTAGTATTGACACAAACAGTTTTCCGGAAGTTTTGAAGTATGCGAAAATAAGCATGCTATTCAAAAAGGGTAAAAAAGAGCTTTTCTGTAACTACACGCCATTATCAGTACTTCCTGTTTTATCAAAATGTTTCGAAAAAACATATTCACGACCATTTTTATAACATTTTGTCTGACCACAATTTTATTACAGATAGCCAATCTGGCTTCAGAGCTAAACACTCATGTCAGACTGCGCTAACCAATATCACAAACACCTGGTATGAGGCTATGGACAAAGGTATTTTGACAGGTGTTCTATTTTTTGATTTTCGAAAGGCATTCGACCTTGTGAACCACTCTATTTTAATTTCTAAATAGGAATTGTATGGGTGTTCATCCAAAACAATGATATTTTTTCAAAGGTATTTGAGCGGGAGATTTCAAATTTTAAACTTTAAGGACACTTTGAGTGATTCACTCCCTCTTACAGTTGGTGTCCCTCAAGGGTCAATATTAGGGCCACTTTTGTTCATTTTATATGTAAATGACCTGCCCCTGATTACAAATCAAAGTTCTTTGTATATGTACGCTGATGACACCTCAGCGCAATCACAAGGGAAATCACTTGACATTGTAAATACCAACCTCAATGCTGATGCTAAATCAGTGTCAAAATGGTGCGGTGAAAACAAAATGTGTGTAATCCCATAAAAAACAAAAGTCATGCTTGTTTTTACTTAACATTTTTTTTTTTTAATTTACAGAAGAATTGTCCGTTGTTACAGGTATCAACAATATAAACATTGAAATTTAAAATGTGAAAAACTTTTTGGGAGAGTCCATAGATGCTTGTCTCTCTTGGAACATTCAATTTACAAATGTCTGTAAAAAGATATCATGTCAAATTTTTCAGATGAAAAAGTTGAGACCCTTCTTGGGCCAGTCATCTTGTACGACTTTTTTAACTGCTTTGTTAACCCACATCTGGATTATTGCTCAACTGTTTGGGGCAACAGTTCAACAAAATTAGAACGCCTGCAAAATAGAGCAGCCAGAATTATTTTAAAATGTGATTTTTCCACACCTTCCCGTGATATGTTCAAAAAACTAAATTGGTTACCTTTTCACAACAGAATTTTATACAATCAAGTAGGTTTTTTGTACAAGATACTGGATAATTTAGCTCCACAAAATTTGAATGATTTTACGAATATGTCTGATGTTGAGGGTAGAACTACAAAATCATCATCTACCAATGTGTTTTACTTGCCATGTCATAAGACAAACATTTTTAGAAGATCGTTTAGATATCAGGGACCCCTTACAGGGATTCTTTTACCAAGTCATATTATACAATTATGGACTTTATTTTCAGAAGTTTAGAGATCTGCAAAGCAATTTTACTTGTAATGATTTATGACTTCCTCCCTCATCCTGTATTTTATAAATGTATATTTCTTAAAACTGTAAATATTGTACATTTTATCATACATTGTATCTTGACCATATGTAAGATGAGCTTCATGCTCAGTATGTTATCAAGAATAAATAAAGCCTTTATTATCATTATTATAAACCACTGGTATTACGACTTATACATCATCTCTAAAAAGAGGCCACTGGTATTAAGACTTAGAGATCACCTCTATTACAAAACCAATGGTATTAAGACTCAGATATCACCTCTATTAAGAGAACACTGGTATTAAGACTTAGAGATCACCTCCATTAAACACCACTGGTATTAAGACTTAGAGATCAGCTCTATTTAGATACCACTGGTATTAAGACTTAGAGATTACCTCTTTTAGGGTACCACTTGTATTAAGAATTAGAGATGTATTCTATTAAGAGATCACTGATTCTTAGACTTAGAGATCACCTCTTTTAAGAAACCAGTGGTATTAAGACTTATATATCATCTCTATTAAGAGATCACTGATGCTTAGACTTAGATATCACCTCTATCAAGAGACCACTGGTATTAAGACTTACAGATATTGTCTATTAAGAGATCCACTCTGTTAAGAAACCACAGGTATTAAGGCTTAGAGATCACCTCTATCACCTCTATTAAGAAAGCACTGGTATTAAGATTTAGAGATCACCTAAATTGGGAAACCACTGGTATTAAGACTTTGAGATCACCTCTATCACCTTAATTAAGAAAGCACTGGTATCAAGACTTAGATATATCTTCTATTAAGAGACCACTGGTATTAAGACTTAGAGATTACCTCCATTAAACACAACTGGTACTAAGTCTTAGAGATCAGCTCTATTTAGAAACCACTGGTATTAAGACTTAGAGATTACCCTCTTTTATAAAACCAGTGGTATTAAAACTTAGAGATATTTTCTAGTAAGAGATCCACTCTGTTAAGAAACCACAGGTATTAAGACTTAGAGATCACCTCTATCACCTCTATTAAGAAAGCACTGGTATTAAGACTTAGAGATCACCTCTATCACCTAAATTAAGAAAGCACTAGTATTAAGACTTAGAGATCACCTTAATTAAGAAACAACTGGTATTAAGACTTAGATATATCTTCTATAAAGAGACCACTGATGCTTAGACTTAAGGATCACCTCCATTAAACACCACTTGTATTAAGACTTAGAGATCAACTAAATTGAAAAAACACTGGTATTAAGACTTAGAGATATCTTCTATTAAGAGACCACTGGTATCAAGACTTAGAGATCACCTCTATTAAGAAACCACTAATATTAAGACTTAGATATCACCTCTATTTAGAGGTTAATAGGCGTTAAGAAGCCACTTTTCATATCTCCTATTTCATTGTTTTCTTTGTGAACTGAACGGAACTTGAGTTAGGAAACCACTTGTATTTAGAGACCATTTTGGACTCCCAATGAGTGATCATTTATTCTTAATACATGTATGATTTCATAATGAAAGATTTCATGATATTTGTACAAGAGAAATACAAAGGCATGATGGTGAAAATAAATTGTCGTAAAGAAGTAGTAATGTATTTCTGGGAAAATAACATATAATGTGGAGATATAATAAAATGGTCCGGCACGACTGTTCGCGCTGTGATCTGCTAGTTCAGTAACAGATGACGTACTTATCGAAAATATAATCAGCAAACACAAACAAAAATAATAATTCTGATTCTTGATTAAGACCGGATTCGCTCTAAGGATCAACGAAATCACATTGTGTTTCATCGCACTCAAGAATACCAATTCTACGCCGGAAATATAGTTCCGAATCCATTGTTACAGTTTTTTGGCAGTGTCACGAGTGTCCTTAAGGTAAAAGCAGCGATATTAACTACATTTACCTGAAATACTGTACATTACATTCTCGCATGCATTAACTTATATCTATGAATGTTTAGCAAAACAAAAACAACTTGAAAACTAAACAGATGTATCTGATAAGAAATCCCGGATCATGCTTAGGGATATGTACATACATATTTGATGGAAAACAGACATATTCATCTGCATTATCTTTACGAGTGTAAAATAACGACAGATAATGCTAATCATACAAGCTTCATTTCAAACGTCGAAAACCCCTCCCGGACATCTAAATTTATAATAAGGGTAATTATCTCTATTTTCTATCCTTGGATTGATCTGACACATGGAAATTGTAAATTCTATTTCCTAACCCTAAGCATGATGATGAAATGCACACATCGCTTATATATAATACCAGCCGTTCGAATATATTTAAGTGACCGGGAGCATATTTTGACTCTCATGTACGTTTGAAAGTATACTCACTGATTGTCGCCGAGTTTTCTTCTCATTTCCCGAAGTTAGATATAGTTAGATCACATCGATATGAAGTCATTGACGGTCCTTCTAGTGCTCTGTTGTATGTTTTCAGGTAAGTTTTAAACAAGTTTTAATCGAATATATTTTTCTTAATAATTACTTTGGAGTACTTGCATTGGAGTACCCGTTGATAAATTTAAAAATAAATATTTGTATTATTGTTGAAAAATTCTTTTTGAATGATTATTTTTTTGTAGACGTTGGTGAAGCCAAGTCTGTTATACGTACTTTTGAAAAATCAAGAATTTTATATTTTCATTTTGCTATAATGCATATTGCTGCCGAAACAACCTATTTCTAAAACATGAAAACCCTCCGAAGGTTAAATTACCATCAAGTAACTGCATAACGTTGGTCATTTATTATTTCGATTTACTTTTGGAAGGCGAAACAATTTTGTTTTGCATTTTTATTAAAGCTGTTCTCTGTTAGTGAACGCGGATTATATCAATATAACATTATACAATTATGTACTTAATGTGAGGTTTATCCCTGATTTACGAACCTGGTGTGAATAATATTGACCGATGCGGAAAGGACCTCACTGGTTTACAAAACATTGTATCATAGTTGAATAAGTACAATAAAGGTAATTATCTGAGCTTTCAGTGATAGTTGTCACTAATTGTAAGATCAATTACCTGTGGTTGGAGTCCAGACAGTAGAGGCTAAAACATCCTGCTACATAATGTGATGGACTATGGTAATAAGCTATTATAAGATAATAATAACGATAATGCAACATGCATATAGTCAATTTCCATCTAAATGTCCTATTAACTTGTTTCGTATTAAGTCACATATGAGTTACTAGATATGAACAATTCGAAATACAAATTTGATAATAAATAGTAAGATATGGTTTTCATTAATAATCAGTTGTTTTCAACGTTAATTTCAGCACTAATTTATCACAAAATGTCTATGTAATACATATTTTCCCATGTCTTCGATGAGAAAGAGCGCTTACTTTTAAGGAACACTCCCGTGGTATTTTTATCTTTGTATTTATTTAACAGGTCTCCTTATGAAAATTTCCCTTAATTGACATATCGCACAAGTTGCTTCGATTTTGAATTTCCATTACAGGTTTTGTTCACACTTAAGTATTCTCTTTCTATCACACCTTGTGCATTAATAAAACACTTATTTAATTTGAAGGATGGACGAATGCTGATGACATGAATACACATACTCAGTTACTTCAAAGGATCCTTAGTGCTTTAGAGCGTGAAGTTGAAAAGCTAGAAGACCAACATGTTGACAGAGAGTAAGTCTTTAGGAACATCTAGAACTTACCTAAATGTTAACACATTAATGGTAAAACAAGTGTTATCTTTATAATCATTCTTCCCTACTTCTTTACATTATTATTTTTTTCTTTCAGTTTTTAACCAAATACATGTATTGATTTCGCATGCTTTGTTTCAAAGATCTTCCTTGTAAAACTATAAAAGGAAGTACAGTACGGCCGCGTTGGTTAAGGCGTCTGACATTCTGCTACCACTAGCCTCCACCACTGGGTCGCCGGTTTGAGACCTACGTGGGGCAGTCGACAGGTACTGAACGTAGGTCGGTGGTTTTTCTCCGGGAACTCCGGCTTTCCTCCACCACCACAACCTGGCACGTCCTTACATTACCATAGCTGTTAAAAGGACGTAAAACACAAACAAAAACGTCCTTATATAAGAATATTTCATATTGATTTTGAAGAAATTTAATAATAATAATAATATACAACATTTGATATAGCGCCCTATCTAGCTAACATAAGCCACTCTAAAGCGCTTTACAGTACATAGATATACAATTAATGCAATTAGGATATACAATGTTTGAGGAATTTGCAGGAGCTGCCTTATCAGGCGCTAACTACTAGACCTATGCCACCTGGCTAATATCTCCCTATGTGTGTATGCCTGCGTGTGTGCTGGAGATGTATTGTGTTCTGTTTGTAGTTGAACCGTGCTTCCAATTGCATCTTTTATAGTGCCACCTCACTTGAATGATACATCACATATACCGCAACACCTACCCCAGACCATGTTATACTCCATCTGGGTTGTTGGAGTTGTGTGGCAGGAGAAAAACACTTTCTTGGAGGGCCGAAATGTTAACGACTCGACCAATCCGCCCATAAATATGAATGTTCTTGAGCCTAAAGTGTAAACATTTGCTTAGCTATAACTGAAAAATGTTACCCTTTTATCTCTTATTACTTATATCAATACCGTTGTCATTTCTTCTACTTAGATCCTCCGATTGCTGGTTTTCATTGCTGAAGCTTACTAAATCGAATAAGATATCAGCAGTGATGTTTTCTCTATCAGCACAAAGATGAATAATTAGAGTCATTGTAATTTGGCTTAGATATATTAAACAATATGATGTCTCTTCAGGCCCCAAATAGAAAAAAAACTATCGTATATGCAATGTTTTTATATTCAAATCGGGTAAATCTTGATCAAACACTAATAGAAAAAGATTTTATTATTTATGAGATAATTATTGTAATTTGAAAATGTCTTTACGTTTTAAGGCCAGTGATTGTCAAGGTAGATCTTGTTTATACTTCAAGGGAACTTCACTCTGCTATCTATTCAGTAACAACAAAATTATCTTCTACATATTAGTATTTTGATCAGTTATCAATATTACAGACCAAATCATCGATATTAGATATATGCTTAAAACATATCGAATTCCGCAATGGAAATACATAAATGATATACAGATGTATGATATGTTATTTCAATAACAAATCTGGATTGTTAACTTAGCTATAGAACAAAGTAATGTTATGATATGTTTCAATCGTAATGTTATGTGTCGCAACATTAGGAAAGTAGATTTAAAAATGGTGTCAAAGGCTGTAGATCTCATGGTCGGTCAGGACAAGATAAAGTACTGAAGTCCCTTTAAGCAGGCAGCGCCAGCCCAATTACCTGTAGTCACGTGTCAAAATCATGTCTCGTATTCCATTTTCAGAATAGAAGACGATGATACACTAAATGATCCCCTGGAACGATTGGCCCAGATTATGACACTTGGTAGTAACAGGAAAGGGACGAATCCGAAGATAGTGAATAAAAAGAGTGATCAATCGATCTCTGAAGTAAATGCTGAAACTAGAGACTCTGAAATGACTGAAGAGAAAAAAAAGTAAGTTATCAACCAAATGACAACAGATTATTTTTTATGATGTATAACATTTTCCGCATAGATTCATACTGTATCCCTTTTGAGCATTACGTCATCAAATACGACTCGTCAAAACGTGTCATCAAAACCCTGTTTTTTATATCTTGATTGTTAGTGTGATTTTTGCTTTGGCGTTTGGAGGTCATTTGTGTGCAGTTTAAATAAGACACATTGACAACATATCCTACCATAGCAAAGCACCACATCATTTTTTTTATATTTTTTTTTATATATATATTTACATATTGAGGTGGGGTTGGGGTGGAGTGTCTTAATAGCAAGTTCTGAAGTATCAGTTTGAATATAAAAGGCAAAATGTATTGTTGTAAAATATTTTGTGTATTTAAAGTTAAAAATATACATTCATGTGTATTTTCATCCCGTAAATCTACCATTAAGTTAACAAGATATCAATGCAAATCTATAGCAAAAGTACATTTCTTCTGAACTCAAAAATAAGTTTAAATAAATTTAATTTGTTTCTAGTACTGTGAAGAGACTGCTAGTTTCCTTAATGAAGAAGACTAAACACTGCGGACCGCTCGGTGTGGGTGAAATCTGCGCTGATAGTCACGATTGCTGTTGCGGTTACACGTGCTGGAAATGGCGATGTCAAGATAAACCAAAAGTCAACTCAAACTGGTGGGATGACCTCCATCTTTCGTAACTACTGTCTGGTCACTCCTTGTTAAAGGGACACGCTGCATGGATTCTTCGATTTCGCAAAAAAAAAACCTGAACTCTCAATTCAGTCGCCTTCAACCGCTGCAATGTTTCAGCTTCACATTTCCTTCCAGATTGGTAGCATTGCATGCCTGGGCGAAAGACTTATTCAGTTGGTGAACTATCAGCACCACGAATACTGATGATAAGTAGTTTTAAGTTGTGATGTACATCTCAGAAGATCATGCGACGGTATCTTGACTCACCGCGCTTATCTTAAGCAATTAGTTAATAATTAAGCATGCAGAATAAAGTAATATATATGCCTAATTGGACATAATTTTCTGTGTAATCCATGCTTTATATATACTTGTAGTTATGGTAAGTAATATAATACTGTATTTAAAAGCAGTAAGTATTCGATATAAAATTTAATATATCTACAAAAGACAAACATAATATTGAGGTTAAATATTTTACAGTGTAAAACATATTTGAAAGTCAGTTAGACTTAATCAAACAATAAAAACATGTTTTCGAATTTTTATCCTTTTTCTATAGACATTTTAGCATTTTTTCTTTGGTGTACCAGATTTCTGCTCGTGCCAGGTGACGTCTAAAACCGGAGGTAATATTCACACAAGTGATCAACGTAAGAATAAAGTATGTCATAAACAAATCAATATTAAGACACGAAAAATTATTGCGAGGACGATAACACCATTCCAAGCGTAACTGTGCATATGGAAAAGCCAATGACGATAGGAATGTTTTAAAAATATTTTGTCTACATAGTTTTAATGTTCATTGTTTTTTCTCCGCGCAAATCTTCTATTTGTTATGTTTTTCACAGACCGAGGAATCGTTGACTATTGAGCTTAGAAGTCATTTGGAAATTATGGTGTTTAGTTGACTTTTTTAAATGGAGCAATATATCAGGTAGATGATAAATAGTTTATCATACAATATTTTCAGTGTTTGTCCTTACAAAAGTTTTTTCATCGCTTGCACGTAGATAACATCTCGAGTCAACCTGCGGTGGCCTCTCGATTTTATCCACGTGCTCGCGATGAGAAAATTGTTCTAACGACAAACCGTGACAAACCAGTGTGATAATCTATTTCTCTTTCTTTCAATCATGTGCTTCACCACATCTTACCTCCCGTGGAAATCACAAGTCGATGACTAAGACAATTTTGCCTGAGGCACACTATTAATGACCGTGAGTTCATATCTTAGTATATTATCACCAGTGTACATATAGAATATATTAATATTGAAATAAGATAATTTTCTTCAGTTCTGGGTTAAAGGCATTTTGTTTTACGAAATAGCGGTACTATTTTCCCAGTGGTCCTCTTCTCTTCATCCAAGCTCCTTACTAGTCCAGTTCTTTTTTTTCTTTCATATTACCCGACAGACATTATATAAGGTACTCATTAGGTACGAATTTTTAAATTGGACCTGTATCATGTATTATTGTGAAGATTTATGTACAAATTTAATTTTCGAGAATCGTAAATAAGGTTTCAAAGTAAAAGAAAAGACAAGAAGGAGTATTTCAATCGGAAACACCCCTGCAGGACGGGAGTCGAGTAAAGACTGCTCCTGCTATTACCTCCTGCGTTTTGTAAGAGGCAACTAATGTTGTAACCCAGATGCTGAATTGGGGATTTGCTTTTGTGCCTTCTAGTTGGAAACACTCATTAAACTAAAGTAAATATACTGCACCGATCGCAACATTTGGTATCTTAATATTTTCTCTATTCTTCCCCAAATCGTTTTTGGTTTCATAGTGCTGCTGTTGGACATACATCAATTTTGGCTATAAGTTGAACTTTCGCCAAAGTGAGGAAGACAATGGGTTCTGTCTATAGACCGGAACATACCAAAGTCCTAACAAATGGTTGTTGCTGTCCTTTCTAAACGTGCAGCAATTTGGGTAACGTCAACAACTGGGTAACCATTGTTAGTATAATGAGGCTAGGTGGAATGCGGTGCTGCACACATACATTCGTGGAGGCATGTCCTTAAATGACCTTAGCTGTTGACAGTACGTAAAACCGTATCAAACCAAACCAGACTGTATCAGGTAAAGTTATTCCATGATGTTCTTATTAATTATATTTCATTATTCATTATGATTCCGCAACCAAGCGACGAAGTATACACAACAGATATAGACGTTATCAGCTAGCTATCCTTAAATATAAGTAATTACACCTAGGTACCCAACAACTTCAAATGAATACGACGCCTTCTTCGACAGAAAACAATCGGCAACCATCTTGTCTACATGATCTATATGCAACAGCCAATTAAAATCACGTATACATGTGATTCGAACTACCCTGCGAAAAGTTAACATCATTTTATCGTAAAACAAAATTACCATTGATAATTGATGGTTAGTTGACAAATAGCAGCGTAAGGTACACTTACGTTTACGTATGAACACAATGTGTAAGTGGTGATAAAATTAAATATCCCTATCTCGCTGCAATGTATTCTTTTCCTTTATACGGTAACCTTCTCTGAACTTCTGTGCGGATATAACTGTGGCACAGTTGGGTCAGAAATCTTCCGTTGACCAGGTAGCTCAATCAGTTGGAGCAATAGTTCATCAATCTGAAGACCAAGATTTTTTTTTATCTTTATTGTTGCTTATAAAAATCCCGCAAGGTATGCGATAGTCAGGCATGAGAAAATAGTTCCAATGCTTAGTTCCTTAATTAAGGACAACGAGAATTATAACTCTTTCACCTCGAATTCGTCTACTGAGTAAAAACAAAAGTTTTAAAAAGTAAAATACTGGAATAATATGAACAAGCTTTAATTGTTATGGTTACCGTTAAGTAAGTTCTCAAAACAACCAGTGTTATCGCAAATGATGTATTACAAAGAATTTGCAATGCCATAATACACTAAGTTGGAGCAAAATTAGACAAAGGGAGGGACCGATGGCATCACCTTGGCGTACACCTATACACGTGTTAATCAATTAAACGTCATTTCGGACATATTTGATACCCGATTTATACATGTCCATTAATGAGACCTGAAGAAATACTATGGGAGTGAAGATGGAGTAAAGCGGTTTTCAACAAGGGAAAATATTATCGGATAAATTTCAGCTTTTTCCATCCTACGTTATCACGATGAATAAATAAATGGGTAATAACAGTTACAGGAAGTACGAACCTATACTTGCCGCTTCTTTTTCGGCTTGAGTGACTTTTGATAAGGATTAACAAAAAACCGAGTTTGTATCTTGTAGGCGATTGGTGTAATTTCTTCATACGTCAATAGCTCGTAGTTTCGAACTGTAATACTAGATTTTTAATAATTTTATTAACTATTCTGCCTCCAGCATACATGCACACATGCACGCATACATTAAGCACGTCCTTAAATGAGCTTAGTTTTGTATAGGACGTACAAATGTAAAACCATATTAAACCTAAAACCAGTTTAAATAATAAACACTTAAAGTTTCACAATCTAATCAACACTAATCTGGTTGTTCAACTCTCCAATTATCCCATCGAATGATTCCTGCCCCGTTGCCGACAAAAGAAACGAATTCTACTGAAGGTTTTTTTAAATAAGTACATCTGTAGTAGCCTCCCCTTAGTTTCGTGTTCGATTTAACTGTAGCGCGACTAGACTGGGGAATTTCTTCATTTAAAATGTCCAGAACGGTAAGGATTTCTTCTGAGGACAAATTATTTTAAAAGGCTGGCTATGGTCATGTCGAAAAAACTAATTACAGATTTTGGCAGTGGTACGTTGATCCTTATAAGAGTGTCTTCGGCAGTATATTTCAGTGAGGTAGCACTATAAAGTCGGCATCAGTCCCGCGCTATCAAAAGGAGACAAACACGAACATATCGCAGCCTCCCAAAACACACACTACACGCATGCATTTTGAACATAGGGGATGCCGTCCTTAAATGACCATAGCCTTTGATAGGACATTAAACAATACTAAACCAAACCAAACCAAAAACCAAACCTTACAAGAGTAAAATGCATCTTTCATGGACTTTTAAATAAATGCGTGTGACGTAAAACAGTATTGTGGAATATTTCTGTGGACTGCTGTCGACTAACTGATATCGAACTAATAATTGAACATGTCGACGTCATTTGAAAATATGTCTACCTCCTGTCTGATATACTATCTTGTCAGGTATCTGTATAACATTTAAGCGGACCTGCTTCGTTTGCATTTGATCCCGGTACTTTACAAGAAACCTTATAAACAACGTTCCGTCGCTTGCTAGTTGTCTAATCAAGCAATTATCCAAACTTCTTAGCACCATTTGATCAGTTTTCTGTCGTGTTTTTTTTACTCCATAAATTCCTTTATTTCATTAATTACATTGAGGAACACAGTTGATCTTTTGATATTTTTTTAAATGTCCTTTTTATTAAAGAATTTCTTTTGAAGAACAGCAACCGGCTTTACAAATATATAAACAAATATATATATATATGTAAACCATTTTGAGCATAGTTTGTGGTTTACACGATAGCCATGTCCAAGATAGATTAAATCAAGCATGAAATGATGAGTTGATTTTCTAATTGACAGTTTTAATATTCTTATTGGTTGCTTTGGTTTGGTTGGTTTAATTTTGTTTAAAGTCCCATTAACAGCTAAGTTAATTTAAGGACGGTCTCCCCTTTGTGCAAGATGTTTGCGTGTAGTGTTTGCGTGTGTGTTTTGGGAGGCTGCGATATGTCCAAGTGGTTAAGGGGTCTGACATTCTGCTACCGCTAGCCGTCCACCACTGGGTCGCGGGTTCGAGACCTACGTGGGGCAGTCGCCAGGTACTGGCCGTAGGTCAGTGGTTTTTCTCCGGGAACTCCGACTTTCCTTCACCACCAAAACTGGCGCGTCCTTAAATAACCATAGCTGTAAATAGGACGTAAATCACAAAGAAACCAAACCAAATCCGCGCTATCACAAGGCAGCAAATATACCAACATACCGCGTCTAGCAGGCATATACGTATACATTACACACACGGAGGCACGACAGAGCTTAGCTGTTTTATACTAAAATCAGTAGAACCGAACCAAACCGATGTTGGGTTTTGGTTTGGTTTAGTTTTGTTTAAAGTCTTATTAACAGTTTATGTCATTTAAGGACGTACCTCTATATGTGTAGTATATGCGTGCTTGCATGTGTGTATGCAGGAGACAAGGTATGTTTGTGCGCTTGCCTCCTTGTGATAGAGCGGATCTGATGCCAACTTTATAGTGCTATCTCACTGAAATAACATGCCGAAGGCACCCAGCACAGCATACCGCTCGATCACATTATACTGACAACGAGTGAACCAGTTGTTGAACGTTACAAATGTAAACAGGGAATATTATTTTTAAGGACTTTAGGGTTATTGGTTGTAACATCGTCTAGGAAGCTATTGACCTACTCATATGTTAAAACTGTACCCTTATCTTTGAATTGATTTTAATATCATAGGTGCTTAGCCCTTCAGTATCAGTTTTAGATA